TTAACCATCTGACTTACAAAATGATAGTTTAGTACACATTTTCTAAGTAATTATATTGACGAAAAGTAGATTGAATATCTGTTTTCACAAGTTTATCTAGAACCATCACCTTGAAATAAACCTGGTATAGATTTGCAGGGTTTTACCGAGTTTTAAAATTGATAACATCTTGAGATTGGAATAATGAAGCAATGATTGTTAATTTAAGTAAAAAAAAAAAAGAAATACTTAAAAAATAATAAAAATAATACAAATAAAAATAAAGTTGAAGATAAAATTTTAGAATTTGCAAATATGAATTAATGTTTATAGGTACTATTAGTAGAAGTACTTGGGGAATTGAAAAATCTAGCAAAGTTGTTGCTAATAGGATAAATAATTTGGCCAGATCTGTGCTTTTGTATGTTGATGAATTGATAGAAATAGAAAAAATAGAGAGTTCAAAGTATATATTATATTTATTTTGTATAATAAAAATTTATATTATTGTGTTTATTGTTTTATTTTTTTACTTTTATGAAATTTTATATTTTAAAGACTTGTTGTAATACTACTTTCAGATTATAATGAGATTATTCATTTAAATCTATACAAATATACAAGATATTATCAAAATATTTTGTTAATATATAGTATTTATCATATGAAAAGAAAATATACTTTCTTCAAAGGTTGATACTATTGATGAAGATAATAATAATGTGAAAAATATAAAATAATATAGAAAAAGAAGAAAAAATAGTTGTTATAATTGGGTTTGATCTTGTAGAATTTTATCTAAATAAATGAAGAAAAATATTTATTTATTTTTCTTGTTATTTGAATTTTATAATCTGTTACTAATAATAGTATTGATTTTTGTTTTTTTATAAAAACTATATTAGTCACATAATATGTCACAGTGTAAATTTTTGTATATATAAAATTATAGCAAAAATATACAAAAACTTTGTTGTGATGATGTTTTTTCCTTTATATATTAACTTTAAATTAAATTTTACAAATAAATATATCAAAAAAATAAAATACTTTTTAAACTAAATTAAAATTTTATAATTTTGATACAATTTAAAAATATAATTTTGTCAAAAAAATATTTAGCAGTTTTAAAGTA